CTCCACCCTCCTTCCATTTTCTTCTCTCTGGCATCAGCTGCTGGTTCTTCTTTTAACTCGTTTCTCTTTTTTCCTTCCAGAGATAGTCTGTGCATATTCGAGCCAATAACTCTGTAAGATTTCAATTTTCCATTTTGGCACTCTGAGATCATATTTCTGTTTCTCGGAAGTTGAGAGTGAGGCTGGTAGTTTTATAAAGCTTTATGAAGTGCACTACACATTGTTTCTTTAGGAAATAAATATTGATGTTACATACCAGCAGGAGGTTCTATCTTGCATATCTTGAGTGTCCAAGGTCAGACTTGAGCCATTTTCTGTTTTTAATTGTGTTGAGTTTCATACTAATTTTAATAGGACCCTTTTGGGGGGGAACTTTATGTACAGATGGTTTCATAGTGACTGAGGGTACTTAGGTGACTGAATGTTCTATTCTGACCTTAATCTACCTGGCAAAAGTGTTCTGAGCACCTTATCCTCTAACTCGTGATTTCTTGTGACTTTCTCCAGGCACATTATAGTCAGAATCAGGGGGCACAAAGGAATTGAGATTTTCACAGGTACGTTCTACCACTTGTAATGGAACCAAGAAGCATCACCCGAGATTCTGGGCTCCCTGGTTTCAAGCACCAGTTCAGAACGGTTTTGCAAATGCATTAGAACTGTAATGTAATTTGACTCCTGTTATTTCCAGAAAGTCATAGATTACCCACCAACCACCCAAAACCTTTTAAAAGGCTTCAGTTAAAGACCTTTCTCCACTCTAGATCTCCTCATTTTTCAGTCTTTTCAGTCCCCCTTTCCCACCTACCATTCCTCCTCAATCTGCCACAGCAGATTCTGTGCAGATGTAGGTTACCAATCCATTTGCAGTCTTAAGGTTCTAATTAAAAACCCATGTATTCTTGTGTGGCAGCGCCTGCATTCCTGGAAAGCTCCCTGGTAAAGTATACTGGAAAACGACGAGTGAGGGTCCTAGGATGACTTTGTAGTTTCAATAAAAATAATAACAATGAGGAGGGGGGAGAGAGAGGGGGGAGGAGGGAGGAGGAGAACTAAATTTTGATATCCAGACTATTTGGAAGAAGTTTTTTTGTTTGTTTGAGGTCCTGGGAATTGAACCTAGGGCCTTGTACATGCTAGACAAGTGCTCTATTCCTCGGTTGCACCCCTGCCCCACTTAAATTTTTTTTTTCTTTTGAGACAGGGTCTCATTAAGTGGCCTATGCTGGCTTCGAACTCACCTCTAGTCTAGATTTCCCTTTAACCTTGGATCCTCTTGCCTCAGCCCCTCAAACAGATTATAGGCCTGCACCACCAGGCCTGGCTTTGGAGGAGTTCTTTTTTTAAACTTGGGGCATAAGGGAAAACTTTCAAGTTCCATGCCCGCTTATTTACTAGGACCTGTTTTCATTTGAAGAACTGTTTAATTTTGCATTCCTTCATCTGGTCCGCATTTCAATTGTGTCCAACTTCATTGCTCTTGAATTATGTAGGTTTAAGTGGTTCTGAAGCCTCCAGATTAAAGCTGCTGCTTGAACACAGTGATCATTATTTCCAGTGACAGCTCACCCTCCCCACATACGTTTTGTTCTTTTGAATTGCCAGTTGTTTGGAAGATGACAACGTAACTTCTCTGATGTTTTTGTTAAACATTTCTAAATGATCTGTTGGCTTTCTGCTCAAGATCAGCCTTTGATAAGAGCCATGGTGCCTTTTGCTAGTGGCAGAGCATCTGGTGTGTGTTGTCTGCTATTGACGGTGGTTAAGTTTGCATTAACAAAGGAACTTTCAACCTGAAGATTCCCGAAGCCTGAGATGAGTACAGTCCTGGGCAGCCCTATTCAAGCACTTACCACTCTGTGTAGATCAGTAGAACAAATTGTCTTATATTAACACTAAAACAGATGCTTGTGGTAAGCTTACAAAGAAAGATAATAAATCGAAGTCAGCCCTGTCTTTCCAAGGTAACTTGTGATATACTCATTAGGAAATGTACTCCACAGTCTAACTTTGGCAAATTATACAGATAAAACTTTTGTTCAGTGGGTAGACATATGCTTGGTGAACATCTGTGTTCTAGGCATCTGTGAACTGATTTCACGAATGTATGTGGTCTAGTAGTAAGTGAAGACACAGACCAAGTTCACTGGCTACTTTGATATTCATGCTGCTTTCCCCCCCCCCCTTCATATTCTTAGTGTGAGCATAAGGGGAAGGTTCAGACCATCCATAGGTGAGAAGTGAGAGGTACACATAGTTTATGTGTACCCAGCTGGTAAGAAGCATAAGCTTCTATATCCATGTGTTTCCATTCACAATAACTTTCTTGTAGAATTAGCAGCATTATGCGTTTGGAGCTTGGCTATAACCCTGTAATCCAAATAGCATATTTGTAGGTCTCTCCAGAAATCTTATGGTCCAAGTAGAATAGATCAGGGCTTTTACAAACTTCTTCCACTTGTGATCCCTTTTCACTTGGGAAATTTTTGCATGACCCCAGGTATATAGAGCAATAAAACAGATTCAAAGCAGACATTTTCTGATCATCATAAAGATTTATTTTAAAGAAATTCTTTGATATACATAAGATTTTACCACTTATTAAAGGCAGAAGTTTCCCTGCTACTTAAGTAGATGTGCTTATTTATTTCCACATAGAGAATTAAGTCTTGGCTGAAACATTTGATACTTCCAGATATAGAGCATCCTGTCTGATGGGCACAAAGCTATTAAGTGGTGAAAACTGAGTAGGGCTTAATTTCTCCTCATCCCGAATTCTCAGCTTTTTCTACTCAGCACCCCAGAGGCTGGTGATTGTAATGCTCAGCAGCATTTACAAAGCCCTTACCTTATACAGCATGTTGCGTGTGCTGCTATGAGTCAGTGCTGGAAGAAATAGAACCACACAGTTCTGCTCTCTGTGTAAGTTAGTGGTAGGGCTAGCATACACGCCTGAGAAGAAGGCCTAGCCTTTGGTGCACAGGCAAAGAAGAGCTGCCCTGTTGACGGCTGTCACCCCTCAGGCCAACCATTGAAGTGTTAGCTGGGTGGTATCCAACAGCACCTGGGGAACTCTTGTCTCTTTCTGCTCATGTCCTTCAGCTAGCCTCTTTAGCTAGTGTCTAACCACATTCAAGTCTCTGCTACTTTAAGAGAAGAAATCTTAGTTGCTTCTGACTCTCTGCTCTTCCTCCTGCCGAGCTTGTCATCCCGTCTCCCCATCTTCTCAGTGGTCATGAAGAAAAGGAACAGGAACAACCATGACCACTGCCTCTTCGTGCCCCATGGACACTAGTAATCCCCATGGCTCTCTTGTCCTGCTGATCTTCATAACACTTCCTATATTCATGGTGACCTCTGAATCTCTGTGCCCAGCCAGCATTTCTCATCTGACTTTCCACTGTTTCCCAGAATACCCCACAAGTACTTCATGTTGTCCCTGGATGAAATGCAAGTCATCATTCCTCCCCCTTACAACTGCTATGATCACAGTTCCTTGACTAGTTAATGATACTACTTAATGGTACTGGAAACCTGAGGGTTAGCCTTAAACTCCACTTTCCCCTTAACCCCTGTAATCCTGAAAACCTTGGTCTCTAAAGCAATCTTGAGTCTGCCGCTGCTCACGAATCCTTTCCACACTGTATTAGTTCAGTCCTCCATCATCCCTTTTGCATTTTTACACTGTCTTCCTAACTCCTTCAGTCCTGAGTCTGTCATATCTATCAAGTACTGAAGCACCAAGTTGAACTAAAAAAAAAAAAAAAAAGTGTTCCCATCCTCAAAAGCTTTTGGCTTTTAGTTTCTTACTCCTTGCTCCAGGATAATGTTCAGCATACTGATGTGTAATTCAGGATTTCCTGAGGTCCTGTTTGGATGCTCCTCATGACGTCTCCCGTGGTCTTGCTGCTGTGGCAGCACCAGGGCTTTTTAGGCTACTCCTATCCACTGCTGTGCCGTTTCTCAAGACGCCCTTTGTTCTTTGCATATACTGTCTTCTTCCTCTTTACTGATTATTTTAATTTTAAATAGAAGTGTGGTACTTGATAGTTGGAGATTAATTATAGTTGCCTGGCCCCTTAAGATAATGGGTTATCAGGCTGTCAGAAGTTAGTATGTTTAATAGTTCTTTCATGAGCACTGAGAAAATGTTGGAGTTACTGAATATATGTACCCTTAGATGAGGTTGAATAGAAAAGACTCTACCCAAACTCAGAACCAAAAGGAATAGCCTTAGGTCCAGGTATAAGTGGCCAGAAAGTGGAAAAGAAATGAGGCTTAAATTCGAATAGATTATTTATTTGTCATTGAAGTTTCCGAAGGTGTGTACTGGTGTGAGAACTTAGTTCCGTGATGTCCTTGGCTTCCTGGGCCCTTTTGCTCCTTGTTCTGCTTTCATTCAGTTTATTTCTTGGACTCAGTAATCCCAACATAGCATCTGTTTTGTAGCAATAGAATGGAGGAAGACAGGAAGGGGGTCAGATAGAAAACTCTGGCTGTCTTACTTCTGGATTCTTGGACGCTACCACAGATATTTCCATTCCATCAGTTACAGGTTAGCCATATATATCTAAAGTGTATGCATGCGTGTGTGTTACTGTGGAAGAAGAAATTAAATTGCAAGGGACAGATATCAAAGGATTCACACAAACTCTTTGGCCTGATGTTCTTTCTAACCTTCCCTTTCACCCTTTTTCCAGTTACCACATGAACCATGTGAACCAGCTCATAGTCGCATTATCCTTGGTTGGAAGTGATAATCTCCCCTTCTAAATCTTGGGATACTTTTTATTACATTGCACATACCCTGCTGAACAGTTGTGGCTGTAATTTGTCTGCTCATGCAGTTTCCCTAAATCACTCAGCCTCACCACAGTAGAAGTACCTAGGCTGTTACATGTCTGCAGTGCCCAGCCCCCTGCTTGATAAAGACTTGGTTGTCAAGAAGTAGTTCTTAACATGAGTAAATAAATAATTTAGAATTTTTTTGTTTCTTACAGAGTTATTGGAAAGGAAGATGGACCAACCTAGTGGAAGAAGTTTCATGCAAGTATTATGTGAGAAGTACAGTCCTGAAAACTTCCCTTACCGCCGTGGCCCTGGGATGGGGGTCCACGTCCCAGCCACACCTCAGGGCTCTCCTATGAAAGGTAAGGAAGCTGGAACATGAAACGTGTTTATGGAGATGACTTAGGAAGTTAGACCACAGTATTGCCTTGCGAATGAATTCCTTTATTTGGAATTATGAGTTGAATGGTCTTTGTCCCTTGTTATGACTTTAGAATTGTTTTTTCCAGATTGACCAAGAAGCATTATACTTACAGCAGAAGAATCGTTCTTGAATGATGATACTTCAAGTGCATATTCTCTCAAGGAACTTAGAGGGTAGAAACTAGTACAAGACTGGTCTGTGTTCTGGAGGCCCTTAGAAGGTCCTTGGATTCAATTACAAGACATTCACATTTACAAAGATATAGCACAATGTAGCTTATGTTGCGCCAAGTGAATGCCACAGTGATTGGGAATGAAATTTAGAAGATAATGTGATCAGGAGAGGGTTCAAGGGTTAAGGGTTAAATAGCCCTAGGAGAATGAAGACTAGGGTTAGAGAGGAGATAAAGGCATTCTAGGAGAGACAGTAGGTGTGAGCAAAGCTCACGACCTGTGCAGGTGTTCGCTAGCCTTTTTATCTTCATGTTGTACTTAATAGTAGTTATTTGTTGGATTAATAGGGAATCATTGCTTTAGTCCTATGTTCAGAGTTTACTGAGTCATTTCTCGGTATAACTAGCCTTGTGCCCTGTGCAGCTGAAATGGTGAGAGAAGTGGACTTAGCTGGCAGTTTTTTCCAGGCTGTGTTCTAATGCTGAGAAATTTGATGCTAAAGTGTACTTGGAAAACCATGTAATTTGAGACCTCTATAAATCATGACTTTCACAAGTCCTTGTTTTATACCAAATGGGGGAACAAGTGGCTGAGTCTCATGCTTATCCCGTTTTTTGTTCGTTTTTTTGTTGTTTTGTCTTTTTGAAGCAGGGTCTCCCGGTAGCCCCAGCTGTCCTGGAACTCACTATGTAGACCAGGCTGGCCTTGAACTCACAGAGATCCACCTGCTTCTGCCTCCCGAGTGCTGGGACTAGGTAGCGATAGTAAGAATGGTTTTATTGACTCATGTATTGTAGAACCAGGTGGTGGTCAGAGCTGTTATTTGACCATAGTCTTTGCACATTTCAGATTCTGAAGCCCTTTCTCTCATTAAGATTTTATTTTAAAAGCAAGACTAATTTTCATAGGGGAAAAATTCTGTTAACACATGAGCAGGAAATGGAAATAATTGATAGGCAAGAATGAAAGAAACAAACACAAAGTTTTGAATGGCTCTGCATAAGTGAGGAGGGTGTTTTGGACATATGAACTTAAAGACAAAGGTGACTTGGCAGATAGATCATTGAGTGGCTTAGGTCATTTTCAAAGAGAGCAAAAAGATAAAGATACACATTAGAGAGAAGAGTTCTGCAGATGTTTTAGAATGAAGGAATCAAGATCAGTAGAAAGTGGTGGTATAAGGTCTCACCTGGGTCTGGTGTTTGCATGATAAGGTGACATTGTGGATGCTGTTGATAACTGACAAAGTGTCCTGCTGGGAGTTAAAGCCTACAGGACTTTTTGTTGGTAATGGTTCAGTAATTGCTTCCAGCCTATATCTAGCTGTCTCCCTTTAGGATTCAGGGCCCCAGGACCCATTATGTTTTCTTGATCCTCATGTAATTTCATACAATTTGAGTTTAGTTTCTTGACAATTCCTAGGGACTAAACATATATAGGAAAGAATTAGGCCGAATGTAGCAAGTGTCTTGTGTCCCTTGTGATTCAGATCGCCTCAACCTCCCAAGTGTACTCGTGTTGAACAGCTGTGGAATTACCTGTGCAGGAGATGAAAGAGAAATTGCTGCCTTCTGCGCTCATGTGTCAGAACTGGATCTTTCTGACAACAAACTTGAAGACTGGCATGAGGTAAAGTGTGTATATTGCTGTATTTTGGTGAAAGGCAGAAGTAATCATTGCATTCTTGTTGCTGTTATGTCACATTCTGTTGAGCTCAGATTCTCACTTGAGTCTTGTTATCTCTGTGCCTCAAAATAAACAGCACAGCAGTGACTCCCTGTGGTAAAGTTCCAGTTCATTTATTACTGCCACCTTGGTTTTCTAAATTGAGGTGAATAGCACTGACGCATTTTATTCCAGGCACCGAAAGGTTAACGAGTCTGCACAGGTTTAGATTGCAAACAGCATATTAATCCTCTGTCCCTCTAGTTACACATCCTGTGCTCATGCTGTGCTTTTGCTTCAGTATTTATTACTACAAATTGACATCCGGTTGCTCAGGCTGAAATCAGGATTATAGAAATACTATTACTGAAATTGTTCCAGGTCCCTCAGCATTTTTATTTTATTTTTTTATTATTTGTATTTTGTGTGTATGTGTGTGTTTGTGTGTGTGTGAGTGAGTGTAAAGCCTGCATGTAAGTACACCCATGTCGTGCAGTGCCCTCAGAAGTCAGAAGAGGGCATTGGATCCCTTGGAACTGGAGTTACAGATGGTTGTTAGACACCATGTGGATGCTGGGAACCGAACCTGGATCCTCCTCAAGAGCAGCCAGAGTTCTTAACCACTGAGCCATCTCTTCACCCCCATATTTTTCTTAACATTAATCAATATCTGGTAGTTTGAGATAAGTGATGTCTTTTGACCTCAGAGGAACTCTAAACGAAGTATACAAATAGCATTATAACGTCTGTCTTGCTACTGTAGATAACGTTACTGGCCTGATTAGACATTTCCTGATAGAAGCTACCATGAATTTTAAGGAAATATAGTTCTTCCTACTTGGTTCTGTCTCTTGCCTTGATTCAAGCTCCTCGTTTTTGCTTTGGCTGTTTGGAGAAGGTGGCTGAAAGGTTTTACCTGTTCTGCTTGTGTCCTGCTTTCTCCATTCTTCCCAGGGCTACTGCAGCGCCCCCTCCTGTGTGAAGAGCTTCAGCTGCATTGCCTTGCTGAGGAACCAAGGTCTGCATTCCTTAGGAATGAGCCCTCAGCACACAGCTTTGCCATTTCTAGAACTTCATGTCTGTTTTAGCCCTTCGCTGTCACTTGCAGCACATCCTAAGTGCACGGCATGAAAGGCTTCATGCAGAACCCACTGCTCTCTTTCCTGTCTTCTGCTGCCCACTGCCTCTTTATCAGCTGGAATTTATCAGATGAAATCAGGTTGTCATTCCTCTGTCAGATTTTCCCAGCTCTCAATACAGACATATCAGAGTGTCCCAGAGCACCTGTGCCATGCTGCTGGGGAAGGATCCATCACAGTGTGGTATAGTCTCTTGCCTTCCTGCTCCACAATTTTTCTAGAGACTGTCAGCTTATTTCCACTGGAGACTTGTTTTTTTTTAAATCATCAGCACCCAGCATACTAGAGAGTCAAATGTTTGCTCAATGTATTGACAAATAAATAATTATATTTTAAGGATTGGTCAAGACTACTTGCTATAACTCTTGCTGTGATCTCCCAGAATTCACCTGGTCCTTTAGTGTTCCTCTTTGCTCATTTGAAAATAGGCTTGCTGATAATTAATCATTGAAATACTTTGTAAACATCAAATGCTCTGTGAATCCTAAGACAGCTTTCTTGTTGAAGAAAAAGCTGCCAGCACAGTTTGATCAACTTTTCTTCTGTGTATCTGTTTTGTTGTCTTGTTTAATCTGGGAACAGTGTTCTTGGTCATAGTTTCCATTTTGATAAGGATCTTTATCAAAAGTCTTGGAGGCTCATGTCACCTGATTTCTAAGTGAAGTGTAGAGTTTTGGGATTGTTCTAAGGAATAATTTCTATTCATCTCTTTATCTATTTACCTATGTAAACTTGTGTATCTCACTGCTCCGTAGATTATAGACTGCTTTTTTGTCTTCTGCGATACCCACTGGCCAGGCATGTGCAGTTCACACTGCCCATATGCAAAAAACATACCTTTTAACTCTCCTTTCCTCCATGACTCTCCTCAGTCCTGCTCCCAAAGCTCTTGTTTCCCAGGTTTGGGGATATTTGTGTTCTGCATGACGGATGGATCAGACCAGATCTTCCCCTGACTCCATCCACTGCTGTGCTCACATGCTGAATCTTACAAGTTTGTTGCTTTGGGGGCATAGAATTTCACACAGGCTCTGTGCTTTGTAGGTTTGACCTGTGCTTTGACTATATACACAGGCTTTTGCTCACTGGTGGGAGCAGTTTAGTAATGATATAATTACCACTTTAAAAGGAAGATGTCCATAGGATAGACCAGTAGACAGAGCTTCCACTAGGTAACTGAGTTTGTTCTCTGCTCCAGCACAGGTCTATGTTAGATATTTCTGAGACCACACTGACATACTGCCAGAAGGTCAAGTATTATTTGAACTCTGCTGCACTTGGTTCGAGTGTCCTTGTGTGGATTTGGTGTCCGTTTTCAGACAAGGAATTTTTGCTGCTGCTTTCAGGTTCTCTTTTCCAGTTGATTTTTGTTTCCATCATTCCTTTATAATCCTTAACTGTAGTTGATCCCAGTCTTTTAGAGTATATATCAGAGCTTCGAGAGATGGAAAAAATACTGGCGGTAAAAGAATATTGATTCTTCATCTTGATTGAACTCTTTGCCAAGCTACAAATACTTCTTAGGTCACTGGTTTTAAGATGTTGCACTTTAATCCCATCACACCCCATATGTCTGATTACAAAAAAGATTATTTGTCCCTGGGCATTAACTAAGTTGACCTCAGCCAGTATTGACATAGCATTGTGGAACAAAATAACGTAGTGGGTTTCTCAGTTTTCTGAGTACTCACTAACATTATGAGTTATAAGTAATTTCTTTTGTGTTTTGGATTTTGGCTGCTATATATTCCAAAGGTAGACTACACGTGAGACAGAAATGTAATACTTTGGGGAAGGTAAAAATTTATGTATATCTACCTTTCTAAATTGGGTGCCTATGTATAAAGCAATTGCAGTTTTTAAGCTATTGACTTGAATTTTGATTGGATACAATTGTGTCCAACCTTTCTCAACATACCTTTTTCCCCTTTTCTTGTTGAGGAACTATTTTATAAAAGAAATTCAACCAAGCAGTGGGGCTGGGGCAGGAATTAGCCAGTCAGGTGAGGCAGAGAAAGGCCTTGGTATAAATTACAGATTGTTATCTTAAAACCCTTTCCCATTTTCTTTAAAATCTTTAGTTTCTCCTTTACAGGAGCCAGGATGGAAGACCCTCTCTTTTTTTTTTTTTTTTTTTGGTCTTTTTGAGACAGAGTCTCCTTGTAGCCCCAGCTGTCCTGGAATTCACTATGTAGACCAGACTGGCCTTGAACTCACAGAGATCTGACTGCCTCTGCCTCCCGAGTGCTGGGACAAAAGGTGTGCACCACCACACCCAGCAAGGAGGACCCTCTCTTAAATCACAGAGCTGCCAGAGGCTTTAGGGCAATCTGAGGTTGTCTCCATGCTTTCACAGTGCATTCCAGCTGGAGGAGTTTTTGCTATTTGGCATTTAAAAATGCAGAATCAATATATGGCCTTAGAAGTTTAGTAGAATGGTTGTCACCTTTGCTGTTGGGAAATTTTCCATCATAAGTAATTTTGTCAGTCTAACAAATTTTGCTGTTTTCTTGAATCTTATCACCAATTTGAGGTTGCCTAGGAAACCTTTTGGATTTTCAACCTTTTGAAAAGAAAATATTTATTTCTAACACATAATTATTTTTTTTCCTGCCCTATTGCTTAGGTTGTGTCCTTTTTTTTTTTTTTTTTTTTTTTTTTTTTGCAGCTGGCCTGGATTCACTATGGAGACCAGGCTGGCCTCAAACTTAAGAGATCCTCCTGCCTCTGCCTACTGAGTGCTGGAACTAAAGGATGCGCCACCACGCCCAGCCGGTTGTGTCCAATTTTATGTTTTTATGATACACAAGTCATTGTTGTAGTGTTCTCACAACATTAGAGCAGATGCGGAAGGTGAGGACTGTCACAAAGCTGTTAGCCTTGGAGAGCCCCCAGAATTTGCTTCAAAACCCTTGAACTACTTACTCATTTTTGTGTGTTTTGATTTTTATTATAACAGCATGGAGGCAAAGGGTTTATGTTTCATGTCTATTTAAGTGGAGTTATACTATAATTAACAGTTACTGAGTAGAATTCCCCTTTACCCCTTCAAAGAGGTAACGTGTAATTGGTCATCATCTTTGTGAAAGTCCTTCTCATTAGTATTGAGGTCACAATGCAGTACAGCATTGGACCCTGCATGAGCTAGTAAGCTGTGTCGTAGTGACAGACCAAACTCTAGATTCTAGCCATGTGTTGCGTAAAGGTTCAGGAACATGTGATCACAGCAGGGACTGCAAGAGAACGTGTGCAGATTGTTAAAATTCCTTACACTCTAAGAAGCATGGTGTGTCTTTTCTGAGAGGCAGCTCATTTCCTCATTTGTAAAATGAGAATAAATGGTGCCCCTTCAAACGATTAGTGTGCAGAACGGATGAAATACTTGAACCTTCTTGGAGTTAACCTTCCCACTGGTTTTAGAGCTCCTGAACTGAGTAGATTCGGTGAACTGTTGTGCACTGCAGATCACCATTTCTTTCCGCCTGTGGCTGTTCTCTTGGCGTGGACTTTCAGTTACTTCAGAGCTCTGAAAAAAAACTGGTATCAGGTCCCAACCCTGAAGCTTATCCCCCTGGGCAACTTCTGACTAGATAGATCATGGGGGACTTGGGAATATTTATTCTGAAAGCTCTACCAGTGTCTCTGATGGAAAACCAGGGGTAAGATATTGGCACGAGGTACCCTTCTTATGTCAATCACAGTTATAGCTATTAAATGACTTTGTGCACATTTGACAGTGCCTCACTACTCCTGTTCCCATAGTTTATGGACAGTTAGGGGAAGTTAAGGAAAAGATTTCAAAAACATCTGTGAGATGCTATGCTGAGTGCATTCCATGTGCATCTCACCCAGTCCTACCAATATTCTGTATCATATGGGGCCTTTCCCTGTTTCTCTGATGAGGAAACTGAGATTTGGAAAGGTTAAGTAATGCATCTGAAACCACTCAGCTAGTGAGTGTTGGAAACTGATTTGAACCCATATTTTCCAACTCTGAAATTAATTCTTGGTACTTCTTTCTGATCCTCTTTTTAATAACTTTTAGTTATCACACTGCCTGGCTCTTTAGTGCTCAGTGCATTTGATGGGCGTTTACTTCAGTCCTTGCTTACCTTAGCCCTGATTAACCATGCCAACAATAGCCTATTCTTTTTCTTTAGGTAAGTTAGAAAGAACAGTGACCCTGATTTCTGAATTCCAGATTTGTCATTTGTGACTATGGGACCTTAGTCAAATTATTTAACATCTCCAAACTTCAGTTCCTCACTTATTATGATGAGGGTCATATCTGGCAGGTTAGTTTGAGAATTAATAAAATGAGCTATATCAAGGCAACTCATACTATGCACAGCACATAGCTGGTTCAGTGACTTCCCTTCCCTTTTGTATGAGAAGTTGCTAACTAACTCAAAATGGTCATCATCCTTTCTCTTTCTCTATATCGTTACAGATGCTTTTGGCTTTTGCATAAATGTGTTTTGAAGTTTGATTTGCCTTAGAACCAAACTGATGCTTTCCTGAGTGATTATGACTCAGTTTTGACCACACAAATTATTACCAAGGGGGTTGGAAGAAACCTTTGCTTAGATTTAATGTGGTGTTGAGAATGAGAGGTAAAAGATTCAAACAGAGCTGCATGATCTAATCTTAGCTCTTTAAAAATGTAGAGTTCAGAATGTCATCTAAATTATCCTTTTATCTTTATTTATCCAAGAGTGCATCATACAGAGCAGAACCAGAACCTTGCTAATGGTCACACAGGGAATCTTTCTTTTGTACTGCTAATTCTCAGTTATGCCACTATTTCTTAGAAATAGATTAAATTATTTGCCACAGTTTATTGAAGTCCTCTGCTGCTCTGTGGGTACCTTTACTAAGTAGGACTCCCTGCAGTAACAGGTCCTTTACCTGGGGACCCATTCACTGAGACCTTGTGAACATGATTGCTGCCTAAAAGCTCTGATTACTGCCTGATGAACTTCTTTTTTTTTTTTCTCCCCAGGTCAGTAAAATTGTGTCAAATGTTCCCCAGTTGGAGTTTCTAAACCTGAGTTCCAATCCTCTGAATTTGTCGGTTTTAGAAAGAACATGCGCTGGGTCCTTCTCTGGGGTTCGCAAACTTGTCCTCAACAACAGCAAAGCTTCATGGGAAACAGTCCACACGATACTGCAGGAGTTACCAGAGTAAGCCCAGTGAGCATGGTGGAGAGGGAGCTTGTTGCCATCTGTGTCCGTACATAGAATTACTGCTGATCTCCCATCTCAGTAACTCTAGAACTTCAGGTTGAATGGAGAAAGAGGTTAGAAAAAAAAATGGAGTCGTTGGAGTGAGGGTGTGAGGGTCCCAGGGGCATAGCTCCAAGTTGTGGGACTCAGCACCCTTCCCTAGAAAATGGCCCTGAGAAGCATTTACCGCTTCCTCATCAGCTCAGCCTTTCTCCATTTTAATCTTCTGATTACTTGATTTAAGAATTTTGCTTTAGCCCTTTTCTTTGGAAGAAAAAGAATGATAGTATCTCCAAAGTCTATTACCATGGAGATGGTTGAGAGCCTTTCCGGTCTAATGCAGAAGTGGCCCTGGCATGCTTATCTATCATTTAAGAAATAAAGTGTACTTTTGCTTAACGATTTAGGATTTTTTTAGGTTCTGTTTGTATCCATGTTTCTGCACACACCTGAAGAGCAAATAGTTTAAAGAAACACATAAGGCTGTAGTTTCTTGACTGACTAAATATGGAAATCATCCAAATGCTTCAGCATCTCACTACACACTATTTACTACATTTAACTTCTCACTCTTGAGCTTGATTGCCTTACCGCATATGGCTTCCAACAGGACATTGACTTAACTGTTTGTTTGAGACAGGGTCTCGTGAAGTGTATGGGCTGGCCTCAAACTCACTCTGTAGCTGAGGCTAACCTTGAACTCCTAGTCTTCTGACTCTGCTTCCCAAATGCAGGTATTTTAGATATGCACCACCAGATCTGTCAGTTGAATTAACTTTTAAAGCTCCTTAACCTCTTTGAACTCAGTTTCCTTGTCTATGAAGTAGACATAATTACATTAGTAGTCTTAGGGATTTAGTAGATTTTGTTGTTGTTGTTGGTGGTGGTGGTGGGTTTTTTTTTGTTTTGTTTTGTTTTGTTTTGTTTTTTGGGGGGTTTTTTTGGTCTTTTTGAGACAAGGTCTCTGTGTAGCAGCAGCTGGCCTGGATTTACTAATGGACACCAGGCTGGTCTAGAATTCACAGAGATCCACCTGCCTCTGCCTCCTGAAAAGGCGTGGGCCACTGTTGTTGTTTTTAATAAACATTGTGTTGTTTCTGGGCTGTCTTACATCGCCTCTCAGTTTAAGTCTGCTCCTCCTTGAAGGCAATGCATCCTTGTCTTGTTACTGTACCTACAGCTTCAGGTTTGTTTCTACATGAAATGCTTTGAATCAGTACTTCCTGATTTAACATTTAATTATTTAAGCACAAGATTAATTTAGTAGTAGCTTGCATCATTTTCTGTGTTTCACATTAGATTTTTATCTTCCCAGCTATACAATATTTTGAGCTTCAGGAAAACTCTTTGTGTTTTGTCTGTAATACATACGAGAGTCTCATGTATAGTTGATTATTTATTTATTTATTTATTTATTTATTTATTTATTTAGGCAGGGTATCACTGTATAGTCCAGGCTAGCTTGTGCCCTCCCTGCTTCAACCTCCTAGGATTACAGGCTCATGCCTCATTTATTTATTGAATGCATGAAAATCTTGTGTAAATCTGTCTAAACTGCTTTAAACAATTGTTTCTTTTTCTCTGCAGTTTGGAGGAGCTCTTCCTGTGCCTTAATGACTATGAAACAGTGTCTTGTCCTTCTGTTTGCTGTCATTCTCTTAAGCTCCTACATATAACAGACAATAACCTCCAAGACTGGACTGAAATCCGAAAGCTGGGAGTTATGTTTCCTTCGCTGGATACCTTGGTCCTGGCCAACAATCATTTGAATGCTATCGAGGAGCCTGCGGACTCGCTGGCTAGGTTGTTCCCCAATCTGCGTTCCATCAGCCTCCACAAGTCAGGTGAGGCACGGGCTTGCTCTCATTCTGTGTCAGTCTGATCCAAGTTCATGGGTGAAAGGCAGTAAACATGTAGTTCAGTCACAGCCATGCCTTTTTATAGGGTGAATTTTCAACATGACATGCAGGTGCCTATTGATTGACTACATTGTCAGCATTTGTTTTCATAAATGCTGTAATAAATACTAAGCATAGAATTATATTAGTAATTTCTGTTTTGTACATTAAAGAAGTCATGCTATGAAAGAGTGAAATGAAATTGATGAATTAGTTATTAAAAGAATAAAGGGAAGAAAAAGAATTATAAACTAGATCATTTTGTTTGCATGTAGAGTGAGGAATCCCAATCTGTAGCCTTTACAAATGCTGATGTTTCTAGTATCTATACATAATTGATTGTCATCTTATTTCCACTGGACCCTGTGTATTATAGGAATGAATATGTCTTAACAAATTATATTTCTTTTAGAGCAGTTTTAGGTTCACAGCAAACTTCAGTATAGGCGGTTCCCATGTGTCCTCTGTTCCCTTGAGTGTGCAGGCGCCTCTGCTGTCTAATCCCATCCCCAGCCTGTGACACTTTGGTCGGTGAACTAGTGCTGACATGCCATTGTGAGTCAGAGTCCTTAGTTTCCTTTGGCACCTACACTTTTTGTCATCTAGTCCATGAGTTTTGCCAAATGGGCAGTAACAGTATCCACCATGTAGCAGTACACTAAATAGTCCAGTGGTCTAGTGACGCCCTGCAGTCTACCTATTTATTGCCCTAACTGACGACTGCTATGCTTTTATTGTCTCTACAGTTTTGTTTATTTTCCAGAATGTCTTTTGTTTGGAATCATGTAGTATGGAGCCTTTTTAGATTGGTTTCTTTCACTTTGTAATAAACATTTAAGTCCTTCGTGTCTTTTTGTGGCTTGATAGCTCATTTCTTTTTCACCCTGAATAATAACTGTGCCACAGTTTATCCATCACCTTTTGGTTACTTGAAGGTTTGTGCAGTTGTGAATAAAGCTTCTATAAATACCTGTGTGTAGATTTCTAAGTGGACATAAATTTTCAGTTTCTTTAGGTAAATACCAAGGGCATGATGGCTGAATAATATGGTAAGAATATTTGTAAGAAACCACCAAACTCTTTTGGAAAGTAGCTGCACTGTTTTCCATTTTCACCAACAATGAGTGAGATGTTCTGTTCACATGCTTGTCAGCATTCAGTGCTGTCAGCCGTGTGTACTTTGCCTTGTAGTAGGTAGCCGTGATCATCTCCTTGTTTTAGTTTGAAGTTCCTTAATGGCAAGTCAGTGATGTATACTTTGACTTCAAATAGGTGCGTTGTGGTAACCTGATTGTTGTTTTAGTTTTAAGTTCCCTAATGACAAATGGGAATCGGCATCTTTGCACACGCTTACTTCCCATGTGTTTTTCTTCTTCGAAAAGTGTCTGTTCAAGCATTTTGTCCATTTTACTTGGATTGTAGTTGGGCTGTAGTTATGTTGTTGAGTTGTTAGTTGGGTTGTAGTTCTTTTTTCAGTACTGAAGATTAAGCCTAGGGCCTGTGATGTTAAACAGTCACTCTACCAATAAGCTATATCCCTAAGCGTCTTTTTACTTTCTATTTTGAGTCAGGTCTCAGTAAATTGTGACTCCTGCTTCAGTCTCCTGAGTAGCTGCAGTAATCGGCCTGTGCCACCAGGCCCAGCTTATAGCCGAATTTTAAGAGTTCTTTGCATGTTTCAGTCAGTAGGCCTTTATTAAGTGTATCTTTTATAGGAAACTTCCTTTCAATCTGACTTTTACTCTCATTGGCATAGTTTTTCATCCTGTTTCTTAAAATACCTACATAATTAACTGTACCTCAAAACTAGAAAAGATAACAGTTTTAATTCACTGTAGAGGTTAAGAGTAGGAAATACATTTTAAAAGCAGTGTTTTGCACAAGGAAGCAGTTTATTTCACAGTTTGATACCCCATGACCTAAGTCTGTTGCATCTAGGTGGTGGTGCCCACTGAAGGGGAGAGGGTGGTTGTGGCTTGTACTTGTGTTCCAAGTCCTCATGAGCTGCTCCTCTGACTTTACCCCTGCTGAGTGTCGATAGAAATGTGAAGGGGTTATGCTGTTCTCTGAAATGGATTTCCCACGTTGTAAAATTGACCAGCTTAACCGTTTAGGAGTTTTTTTTCCCACTTGGAAGTCAAATGTTGACTTGGATGAAACATTTGCCCACAGACAGGGAGTTTCATTTGAGGACTAAGCATCTTAACTTGGTGCATCTTCTCCATCTCTAAAGGTTTAGGATTACTGTTTTGCTAGTTTAACAGTGACCTTGGACCTGTTCGTCCTGTCACCAACATGAGGGTGGTGTGACAGTGACACGATCGTGTCTTCTCTTGCCTTTTAAAACATGGTGGGAAAAAAGTTTGCTATGCTGCCATCACCTCTGACTGATAGCTACGGTCCACAAATCTATGTTTGAGTAAAGTGAGTTGGTCAAATCGCTTTTTAAAGAATGTATTCATGCAATCATGGAGTAGACCTTACTTATTGAAACCATGATGTCCCCGATTATAAGCCACTGTGGTGGAAGGGGAGATGAGAAGATGTTGGGGAACCTGGCTCTCCCTTTTCTCCTTACCACTGAACTCACAGAACTGAGATTGACTATGGAAAAGTGAGCTTTACTTGTTTTGGGGAGTTTTGTAGGGGCCTTTATTTTGCTTTTCTTCTGTTCTTTTTTGAGACAGTGTCTCCCTGTATTCCTGTCTAGTCTAGTGTGGTCTAGAACTGTATCCTTGTCTGGTCTGGAACTTGCCATATAGACCAGACTGACTTTGCTCTCACAGAGATCTACCTGCCTTTGCCTCCTGAGTGCTGAGACTAAAGGTGTGCACTACCACTCCTGGCTTGTTTTAGTTTTTGTTTTTTAAAAAATATTTATTTTTTTATGTGTATGAGTGTATTGCCTTCATGTAAGTGTACCCGTGTCATGCATGCAGTGCCTACAGAGGTCGGAAGAGGGCATCAGATCCCCTGGAACTGAAGTTACGGACAGTTGTTAGCCACCCTGTGGGTGCTGGGAATCAAACCTGGGTCCTCTGCAAGAGCAGCCAATACTCTTAACCTCTGAGTCATCTCTGCAGCCTCTGTTTTTCGTTTTGTTTTGTTTTGTTTTGTTTTTTTGAGTCAGGTCTCACTATCTTGCCTAAGCTGGCCTTGAACTCGAAATCCTCCTGCTTTAGCTTCCTAAGCAGATGAGATGATAGGTGTGCCCACTGTGCCTCTTTTCTGGGGAGGCAACGTTACTTTACTTTCTTCAGGTTAGGTACTAGCAGCTGTCCAGCTGTCCGTCTCCTTCATTGTCACCTTAGCATTTCAGGAATTGCTGGCTGGGGCTTGGCTGTGTTTATCATCTCTGGGTTTACTTAAATACTATCTTTCTCCAATCAGGTTTGCAGTCCTGGGAAGACATTGATAAATTGAATTCATTCCCTAAACTTGAAGAAGTGAGATTGTTAGGAATTCCTCTTCTGCAGCCATATACCACCGAGGAGCGAAGGAAGCTGGTAGTGGCCAGGTCTGTTCTCTGGATTTCTGCTGCTTACTCTCATGGCTGTATTGTATCATTAAAGAGACATTGTACTGTGTGGGGGCAGTGTGCTGTGAATTTACCCATTGGCTGCTCCTGCAGCACTCAGCTCTGGATAAAGGAAATGTAATACAGTGACCAGGGTGTAAAATGTAGCTGTCCTGCCAAGACCACTGGAAGAAATTCCCCATGAGTGTTCCATTTTTTATTTATTTACTTATTTTTTTTTGGATACAGGGTCTCCCTATAGCCACAGCTGGCCTGGAACTCGCTATGTAGACCTGGCCTCCGTCTCACAGACATCCCCCCTGCCTCTGCCTCTGGGGTGCTGGGATTAAAAGTGTGCCTCACCATTCCTGACTTTTTTCTTTTTTCTTTTCCTTTGCCTTTTAATACTTAGAATATTTGTGAAAGTCCTGGTTTGGGGTGAAGTATGAGTCTGTGTAAGGGGTGTCAGCTGGTACAGGTACCCTTGTTTCCTCTCCTTACAAAGTGGTCCTGTAAATGCAGATACCTGGAAACTGGACCATTTTCGCAGCATCAGTGTTTCTTCTTGAATCTCCATTCACTTAGACGTGACCACTGTTACAGTCTTCTGTGTTCTTGATGCCTTTCATGTTGCAGACGCTGTCCCTCACACGACTGCGGCTCCCAGGAGTGTGGATTTTTATAAGAAACTTTAGCAGAAATAAGATTTAGGCTAAAATGAAAAAGGGCCTGGAGCTTTGCTTTGTTCTCTGTCTGCTCTCTGCACGGAGCTTTTGAAAGACAAGCAGAAGGCTTTATGGTTCCTAAAGAAGAGTGCTTCTTTAAACATGGTATTGATCTTTCTGACCAGCTAATGCCTGGCAGATCCATACTTCCTTGCCGTTGTTCACAGACACGTTATTTCTCACCAAAGACAGACAGGGCAGCTTATTGCTCTTTTACCAGGATGTGTGAGTCTTACAGTAGGCTTTAGGCTTTATTTTCTTCACCAAATTCTTTTACAAGTATAAAGCAATTCATGAATTATATAACTGTATTATACTAACTACTCTTTGAACTTGTGCTGTTTAATATGGTAGCCACTAGCCAAGTGTAGCTGTGAACATTTGAAATATGCCTTGTCTAATTTGAAATGTAAAACAGACACTGGATTTCCAAAAATTTGTATGAGTAAGAGTACAAAAGAGCTCATTACTTACTGTTTGACGTTGATTACACATGGGAATGATTTTATTCTGGTTATATTGGATTAAATAAAAAATACTGTTAAAATGTTACCTGTTTGGCTTTTTAAAATGGGGCTGGAGAGAAGGTTCATCAGTTTAAGAGTGTTTGCTGTACTTGCAGAGGACCTAAGTTCAGCTCCCAGGACGCATGTCAGGTGGCTCACACCCACCTTTCACTCCAGCTGTAGGGGATCCAATGCCCTCTTCTAGTCTTTGCAGGCAACCACACATGTGAGCACATAGACTCGCATATACACAGAACAATTTTTTTTAAATGGGGCTACTAGGCAATTTAGACCACATAATTTTTTTATTCTGTCTACCTAGATTGGATAGTGTGACCTAGAACTGTATTCTGCAATGTGAGGTTAAAAAAAAAGACCAATGTCACATCCAAAAATAAAACATGATTTATTTTTTCCTGTTGTACAACTTCATTTTGTGTTAATGTTCGCATATGAGCAAACTATACCAAAAGTACCCTTTCAGAAGAGACGGCTGGGCCCCACATCACTTATTGTACTTCTAAAGCTAAGAATTTTTAGCATCTTAAAATGTCTTTGGTTTGACTTAACTTGCAGATTGCCATCTGTTTCTAAACTCAATGGCAGTGTTGTTACCGATGGTGAACGAGAAGACTCTGAGAGGTTTTTTATTCGTTACTATGTGGATGTTCCACAGGAAGACGTGCCATTCAGGTAAAGAGATCTCTCGGCAGCACAGCAAAGCACTGTTTAGTGTCAGGCAATTTAAGGACTATTTCTCTAAGGACAAAGTCTACATTTGGTATTAGAGCCTTTGTAGAGGACATTGGCAGTAGGTTTAAAAAGAAAAGGGAAAAACACAAAAGCAAGCCTTTCTCGTCCCATTTTCTGCAGTATATTTCTTCTAGTCTCGTGTGGGTGATTGGATAAGTGTTGGCTGATACCCGAAGGTCCCGCTCCACGCTTCACACCCTCAATTCCCTTTTTGGCCCTCTTCTCTCGGGACAAATTTTCACCTACCATTCAAACTAGTTCCTTCATCTCCCTTGTCTTGCTTTTGGATACTGTAGCTTCTGCAGCTTGCCAGCTTAGCAGATGAGGAAGGGCCTGGGAAAAAGACTCTTCAAGGAATAACTCAGGGTGGTTGAGTAAGAAGAGACATGCTGGGACTAAGACATACCTGTCAGTTCACAACAGCTTAGTAGACAGTGTGGAGAGCTACGTATAATACTCTATAGATAAACGAAGGGCAGCAGGTGTAGATTGCCAAATACACAAGGAAAAGATGTCTCTGAAAGCAGGTTTCCAGGAGTAGACAAGTAAAATGGGTTCTCAAAAAAGTTATCTACGTTCCTTATTTAAGAAAAAGCTAGGCTGGGGAGATGGCTTTATAGGTAAAAATGCTTGCCATTCAGGCCTGAGGACCCAAGTTCGGATCTCCAGAATGTACACATAAAGGCTGGATGTGTATGTAGTGCCAGGGTCTGTAATTCTAGCACCCCTATGGGGAGGTGGGAGGCGGAGACAGGAGAATGGGCCTGGAGTACACAGTGGAAAAGCAAGATTGATTGATTTAATTTACTTGTTTATTTAGGTGTGGGTATGTGTATATACCTGTGTGTGTGCATATACATGTGGGTACATGTATGCGGGTGCATGTGCATGTAAAGGTCATAGGTTGACATCTTCCTCAGTTCTTCTCTACCTTATTTTATGAGACAGGGTCTCCCACTGAACCTGGGACTCAGTGACTTGACTAGCTGGCCAGCAAGCCCAGAACCCTTGTATCTCCAGCCTCCCCAGGGCTGCGATTATAGTTGAGTGCAGCCCGTGGCTTTTTACATTGGTGTTGGAGATTGAACTCAGGTCCTCACATTTGTGTGGCAAGCAGTTTACTGACTGATCTCTCCAGCCCTCCACATGGACTATTTTAATGACCATTCTGACCTTTCTCCCTCTTTATTTGTGCCTACTTCCCCACTCACTGGTGCTTAAATGTCACTGTTTGGCTGATTCTGTCCTTGAAATAGAAGTGGGCAACCTGATTTCAGTCTTGTACCTACATCCCTGGCCTGTGAAGAAATATGGAAGCTCCTCTTCTGTTTTCAAGGCCTTGGAGCAGAAAATATCTTCTAAGGGGCAAGGTGGATGATGTGATCCTTCCCTTATTCTTGTGTCCTTGAAGGTTTTTAATTCTTCCACATGATCTTAGAAAATATATGACATCTCAGCTTCCTGTAGTATAAACCATGCTCACATCCAGTGTCCGGTCACCCAGCTACAGCTGCTTCTGACTGCTGAAGGTAACGTTTAGATTCAGATTTTCTGGCAAGTTCCTATACCAACAAAATCAGCTAAAACTAAAACTGCTTTTCCTTCCTTGAACTACACCACTCAGGATCTTATTGCCAGTGTGTTTGAGTAAATGACCAAAGTCTTTTAAGTGTTTCGTGATTAACCCCACAGAGCATACTATGATCTGATGTCAGTGGGGCATGTGTGGAAGGGCAGAATAAATGGGTTAGTTTACTCTTGCAGGTGAATTCCTTTAGGCAGGGGGATTTTACTGCCTTTTCAAGCAAGAGAGGAACAGACTCATTAATAAGGGAAGATGGGCTCCCCTGTTAGCAAGGGGTGTCCAGTGCCTCTTTCTACATATCTCCATCTGTTTGTTCTCTTTTTTAAATAAATGTATTTTGAATATTTTAGATTTATCTTATTTTTAATTTTGTGTGTGTGTGTCTGTGTGTGTCTGTGTAGGTATGTGCACATCTGAGTGCAGGTGCTGGGGGAGGTCATAGGTGTCAAAGCCCCCTGGAACTATAGTTACCAGGCAGTTGTATACCACCTGAAGTGGGTCCTAGGAACCAAACTCAGGTTTTCTGCAGCAGTATGTGGTCTTAACTGCCGAGCCATCTCTCTAGCCTCTTTCTCTTCTTCTGATCAGTGCTTCAATTTTCATGTAATAGTCTCATTATTACAAATTTTACTGACCTGTAATTTAGCAACCTGGAGCATCAACTCTGGTGCAATTTTTATGGCTTCCTTAGCTGTTTTGTTAAAAGAGAAAACAAATAAACATACTTTCTGTATTTATTTTTGAGGCAGGGTCTTACTATGTAACCCAGGCTAGCCTTAAATTCTTTTTATTTCTATATATTTTAAGTTTATTTTTAATATGAGGCTATGTGTGGGGTTATGTGGGTGCCCTCCAAGCCCAGAAGAGCTCTTTGGGTTCCCTGGAGCTAAAGTTACAGAGGGTTGTGCACCTCCTGGTGTGGGTGATGGGAACCAGGTGTTCTGGAAAAGCAGGAAGTGCTATGAACCACTGAGCCCATCCTCTCCAGCCCGTAGCCTCGAACTCTTGATCCTCCTTCCTGTGAGTGCTGGGATATTTTTTAGTAGTGCTTGGGTTTCAGGCTACACTTTGGGTATAGTTTATAGAGATTCACCCCAATGACCTTTTCATTTAAGCTGTCTTGTACGCATAGAATAGCAAGTGCTGTGCCTCATGGCCGTGAATTCATCAGCTCCTGGGCAGCACTTGCTCAATCACCCAGAGCCTTCTGTTTGACCAAAGATGATGATTAGTTCTTTGACTTCTCCCTGTTACGGAGTTAAAGAATGTCTTCTATGAACACTGATATGGGACTCACTTGGCCTTTTCTGGGCCAGAAACCAACCACAATTTGCTGTTAATTACCCAGGGGTCTATTACTTGTAATTCATCCACTCTCTGCTACTAATTTCTTAGTGCAAACAACAAAATCAACTCTGGCCAAGTTAGGTCAGGTAGGAATTTAGTAGGAGAATATTCGAATGCTGAGTGTCTCACAGAATTGACAAGATTAGAGAATTAAGGTTGGTCAGGATGAATGGGAAGTGAGGCCCAGCCAGGATTTTCATGTCTTGCAACATGCTTTTGAGAGTGATGGTTGGACAGGCCTCAGGAAGGCTACCTGCCATTGCTATAGCCATGCCCTTGAATTCTTGACTGTACATCTGCTATTAACTCTGTGAGGTCTGTGCCTTTGCCTCAGTCCTTAAGATTTAAAATGGCAGGTTTATGTCACTCTCTCTGTTTAGTTTGCAGACCCGACGGGATGAATATCTCCTCTTCGGTTCTTTCAGCTTCTTACAGCTCATGTGTTTTGGGTCATCTCCCTCAAGCCCTTAATCAGAAGGAGATTCAGATAGGAGGCAGCCAAAGTTGACTTTTGTGTTCCACTATACTGCCTGTTCTCTAGAAGTTTTCATGCAAGACTCCTGATAGATTTATCTACTTAGCAAGTATGTTTTCAAACCCTTGTGACGTACCAGAAAAGAAACTGTAGGAGCTGGTGAGGCGAGGTACTTGTTACCAAGCCTGACAAGATGAGCTCGATCCCTGGAACCCACATGGTGGAAGGAGAAAACGGACTCCTGAAAGTTGTCCTCTGACCTCCATGTATACAACGCACCCATACCTACAAAATAATATTTTAAAAATGTTTAAAAGTGAACTGTGGTGGAATTCTTGCTGATAGTGAGAGGAAGTGACAGATAAGAACATAGAAACTCATTAAGTGAGAACAGTGGTGTGAACAGAGGATTAGTACCATACTAATTGGTACTTTGTCTTCTGTATTATATGCACTATCTCTTCCTAAGACTCTAATGAAACATGACTAGCCCAGAGCCCTGTTAGTGAAAGCTTGCTGCCTCCTTAGATGAGTCAGTGTTCGTACTGAATCACATTTGAGCTTCAGTTTTCTGAAAAGGTGGGTCCATTTGTTTTGGGCAAACATTTGATTTGACTATGGATTTTTGTTGCTGCTGTTTGTTTGTTCCGAATCAGTGTTTGACTTGATTCTCCTGTAAATTCTAACTTCCACAGCAATTTTCTCTTAGTTTGGGTCCCTGAGTTTTTCCTTCTCTTTGGTTTTCCTATCTCCTGTTAATTAGACATGAAATAGCGCTACTTAACTTAGGCATCAGTGAGGAAATTTACTCCAACTGTCTCTCTTAGTGATGCATAAAGGGTCGTTATGATGAGCCCAGGGTCCTTTATGATAGCAGAGTTACTTTGAGAGTCAGTTGCTTTATTCACATCTGTTTCCATATGATTAGTCATTTTACCAATGGAAGTCACTAAGGGTAATCCAGAGATTTACATATTGTTTTCCTATCCCAGAATAAAATGTTTAGGGCACTGAAGGGAGTCATACCTCAGTGTTTTGAGTGTGCCTTCTAAGTGTAAGAGTTTAGTAATTGCTTACAGGTGCTCATTATACCCTCCCCATTGCTTTCTCCTGATAGGTGGAGCTGGAGCTTTAGCCTCTTTCTATGGCTGCTTATGGCAAATAATCAGCTAACACAAAACAGTGATCAGCCAAATGCTTCATGTGTATTTACTTTGTGGAACAACCAAAGATGAAAAGCCCCTGTTCTTTGATTCTTGGCCCTTGAGCATCCCAATGTTTGCTTTGCTAGTCAATAGGCCCTTTCTTTTAGAGCCTTCCCCTGTGCCTTGTCTCCCAGTGGCTCATGAAGCAGTGGTGTGCTGTTTCACAGTAAGTCCGGTGTGTCCCACAGGTGGCTGGAAGGATGTCCTCACTGGACTGCTCGTGTTTCAGTTATTGGACTCTGCTGCCTCACCAGGAGAACTTCCAGGAAATGACTAGCCTCTAACAGGTTTCAGGGCATAATGTGATATATTACTGGTCCAGAAACTG